AGCTCGGTTGTTGGAGACGTGAGTCTTGCCAAAGCTCCTGGCTGAATAAAGCCCTTCCTTCTTTAACTCGGTGTCTGAGGGGTTTTGTCTGCGGCTTGTCCTGCTATATTATAATACCTGTCAAGGAGCACTTGGAAAGTGAGAATAAATCATTGCAAGCACATTACTCAGTCTTGGTGAGTCAGGGAACGTTTCATAGAGGAGAAATCTAAACCTTGAAGGCTGAATGGGAAGGCCTGGTGAGGCTGAGGGGTGGGCTGGGAGAGGCCCACCAGGCCACATGCAGAGGGGTGGGGGAGCAAGCTATGCCTGTGTGTCAAGGGCAAGGAGACCAGCCAGCCTCAGTCTACAGCATCTGACCCTCCTGAAGATGACTTCAAATCCCTAAGTATTGGGTTAACTATATGAAATTGTCATTTTTATAGGTCAAAAATGGTGAAATATCAGCAATTTCACATGGTTCAATCAAACACTTCTCTGGATGATACCCCTTAACCCTGTCCCCCTCTAAATTAGTTTCTTTCCAGAAAAAAAAATTCAATGGCATTGGGAAGCATAAGGGAACAAGTATCAGCTGCAATATGGTGATGATGGGGTGGTGATGGGTGATACTCAAGTACATGCAGAGGCCACATGGAAGAACGTCATGAACCACAGTAAGACATTTAGGCTTTATCCTTAGGACATCTGGCAGCCTTGTGCGATGACCAGATGGATATTTTAAGATGCTTACTCAAAACAACCTAGAGAAGGTGGTAAGAGGGCAACAGTGGAACAGCCAAGCAGGAAAAGTTGCTACTAGGATCAGAAGAGGGGCCCACACTGTCAGTGTGATAAAGGTAGGCAGGTTTGTGAGATACTAAAGAGGCAAGACTAACAAGACTCCGGAACTGAGTGAGAAAGGAAGTGGGCGAGCCAGCACGAGCCCATGGTGCCTGACCACCCAGGCAGCCAGGTGGGTGGTGGGCCATGCATTGGGCTGGATGAAAAGGGGGAGGAGCTGACATGGAGGGAGAGAGGATGAGTTCCAGGCATGACTGTCGTAATTATGTATATAGGTTTTCATCTACAGTTCCTGACTCATAACTCCCACCCCCACTGTTATTTCTCCCCTAGGCAGGTCATAAAAACTAAAAATACACCCTAATCTCCCCCCACCTTTCTGTCTTGGAGCTGGCCATAAAGAAATTGTCAGCTTTTATACCAGCACCCTGCTGTTTTTGTTACTGTAGCCTTATAGTATAGTTAGAAGTTGGGTAACATGATGCCTCCAGCTTTGTTCTTTTTGCTCAGGATTGCTTTGGATATTCAGGCTCTTTTATAGTTGCATCAGCCTTAGGAAAGAAGTTATGCCCACATCCTCAAAAGCAATTGCAACAAAAACAAAAATTGACAAGTGGGACCTAATCAAACTAAAGAGTTTCTGCACAGAAAAATAAACTATCAACAGAGTAAACAGACAACCTACAGAATGGGAGAAAATATTCCCAAACTATGCATCTAACAAAGGTCTACTATCCAGAATCTATAAGGAACTTAAACAATTTGACAAAGTAAAAGCAAATAACTCTATTAAAAACTGGGCAAATACATGAACAGGTACTTCTCAAAAGAAGACATACAAGCAGCCAACAAAAATACAAAAAAAAGCTTAACATCATTAATCATCAGAGAAATGTAAATCAAAACCATAATGACATACCATCTCACATTAGTCAGAATGGCTATTACTAAAATGCCAAAAAACAACAGATGCTGGAGAGGTTGTGAAGAAAAGGGAGCACTCATACACTGTTGGTGGGAATGTAAATTAGTTCAGTCACTGTAGAAGCAGTTTGCAGATTTCTCAAAGAACTTAAAACAGAACTACCATTCAACACAGCAATCCCATCACTGGGTATATATCCAAAAGAGAATAAACCATTCTACCAAAAAGACACATGCACTCGCAAGTTCATCACAGCATTATTCACAATAGCAAAGACATGGAATCAACCTAGATGCCCATCAATGGTGAATTGGATAAAGCAAACATGGTACATTTATACCATGGAGTACTATGCGGTCATAAAAATAATAAAATCGTACTTTGCAGCAACATGGATGCAGCTGGAGGCCATTATTCTAAGCAAAGTAATGCAGGAACGAAAAACCAAATACTGCATGTTCTCATTTGTAAGTGGGAGCTAAACACTGGGTCCTCATGGATATAAAGATGGGAACAATAGATACTGGAGACTGACAGAGGAAGAAGGGAAGCAAGGGTTGAAAACTAGTTCCAGGGGTACTATGCTCACTACTTGAGTGACAGGATCAATCATACCCCAAACCTCCGCATCACACGATACATCCATATAACAAACCTATACATGTTGCCCCTGAATCTAAGATAAAAGTTGAACTTACAAAAAAGCAAGAAGGAAAGAAATTCTCTGACCTACCCTGTCTGACCGCAGGCCACGGACCCTCATTTCAGGAGTCCTGTCCCATACCTGAAGGAAGAAACGCTGCACAGAGAAGCTGAGGAATCTGAACAGACAGGTCCTGTTGGGTTTTCCCACTCAGTCTATTTGTGGTAGATCACACTTTCTGTCCAATCACATTGCTACATGGTTGTCCACACTTCAATCATGCCTACCCAGTGATGTCCCCATAAAAGGCCCAAGAGGAGGGGGTACAGAGAGCTTCCAGATAGCTGAATATGTTCCTTGAAGATGGTGTGCCCAAGGAGGGTATGAAAGCTCGGCGCCCCTTCCCCACAGCTCACCCTATGCATCTCTTCATCTGTATCCTATGTAATCTCCTTTATAACAAACCAGTAAATATAAGTGTTTCTCTGAATTTCATGAACCAGTCTAACAAATTAATCAAACCCAAGGAGGGGGTCATGGGAATCCCAATTTCTAGCTGGTTGGTCAGAAGCCCAGGCAAAACAACCTGGATCTGCCATTGGCATTGTAAGTGGGGCAGTCTTGTGGGACTGAGCCTTCAACCTGTGGCATCTGATGCTGTCTCCAGGTAGCTGGTGTTGGAATTGAGTCAGAGGACACCCAGCTGGTATCTGCGGCAGAACTGATTGCTTACTTTTTGGTGGGGAGAAACCCTCACGTATTTCATCACAGAAGTCTTCTGTGTTGATTACTGCATTGTGTGAGAACAGAGGAAAAGCAGTTTGTGTTTTTTCACTCAGAAGTGTTCGATCGGTTCTGATGGTAAAAAGAAGGAGGTAGTCACGCACGGTGGCGCACAGCTGTCATCCCAGCACTTTGGGAGGCCAAGGTGGGTGGATCACCTGAGGTCAGGAGTTTGCGACCAGCCTGACTAACATGGTGAAACCCTATATCCACTAAATTTAAAAAAAAAAAAAATGAGCCGGACAATGGTGGTGCTGCCTGAAATCCAAGCCCCTTGGGAGGCTGAGACAGGAGAATCGCTAGTACCTGGGAGGGAGAGGTTGCAGTGAGCCAAGATAGTGCCATTGCACTCCAGCCTGGGCAGTGAGTGAAACTCTGTCAGAAGAAAAGAAAGGAAAGGAGAGGAGAGGAGGAGAGGAGGGGAGGAGGGGAGGAGGGGAAGGAGGAAGGAAGGAAGGAAGGAAGGAAGGAAGGAAGGAAGGAAGGAAGGAAGGAAGGAAGGAAAGAAAGAAAAGGAAACTAAGGCGTGCCTACTGCCAACTACATGAATGCTTTACATACGGTATTTAAATTAACACACCAGCTGGGGAGGTAGGTACCCTTCCTGCAGTTATATAGCTAAAACAAAACAAAACAGACAAATAAACAAAAAAACTGAAGGTGAGCGCTTACCTGAGGTTAGACAGTTTATATTTGGGAGAGCTGCAATTTAAATGGGCGTCTCTTTATCAATACCCATGTGCTTATGGCTACAACTTGCTGCCCAATAACCTAATGTATGGTGTGTGCTGTGCTGATGGCTAAAACAATGGCAGATGCAGTTGAGATCATGAAGGATGTGCCAGAAATCTGTCCCGAACACATGGGAGAGGAGGAAGGCCAGACTCAGAGCGGAGCACCTGACCCAAGTACAAGCTCTCCTCATCCTGCTCACCTCTGCTAATCACCTGTGTCATAGATTCTCCCCAAGTCTAGGAGCATGGGAAGCAGGGAAAGATCAATTGGGGGTTATAGGACTTCTTTCCAAGGATGAGAATAAATCCTGCAATGTCTTGCTTACCCTGAAGGGTAGGACTCTGCAAGGCAGGCCCTCTCAACATCTCTTAAGGGAAAAGCAGCATTTTAGCTCACGACAGTGTCCTAGCAGACAAAGGCTTAAGGCATAGCCTAGCTAAAGACTTACTTAACAAATTCCAAAATAGTAGCAAAATAGTCTCCATAAAACTAAATGACTTCCAGGGAAGAAAGGGCATATTCCACTCCAGTACTTGTTGCCTTAATTAGGAACAGATTCTGATGACTGGGATTTATTTTACTAAGCACACATCCACAAAAGCCAGAAACATCTTGTCATGCTGCAGCATCCCTGACATTTCTCAAAGACAAATTCCTAATTGGGTTTTAAAAAAAACAACCAGAAATTTCCATGCTGATTTTGATTCAGGATTCAAAACAGAACCTAAGACGTGTATTTCTGTATTATTCCAAACCATGTATAAACTGCCTTAAAAGCCTTAAGACTCCCTTCAAACACTAAAGTTTTAAAAAGGGAAAAAGAGACTAAGAAATGAATTCTGAATTTAGTGTAGCAAAGAAGATTCTTCTCTTTCTTATGGAACATGAAAACTATCCGGTGATCTCTCCAAGATACTTTTAAACACCTTAATCTACTTACTTTTTAAAAGACAAGATGAGGGCTGGCACCTGCTCTTTCGCTTATGGGGTTCAAACGGCTTTTTTTGTGTCTTTCTTTGTTAATTTATTAGAGAAATTGGCCAGCCTTTTTCATTGATTTAACTAAATTTTGTTATAATAAAGAATCTAGATGTGCCACGGAGTCTGAAATACAGAAATTATTATCCTTACCTGCACAGTTTATCCTTAAGTGTTTCCATGTACTTCATAGTATTTTCCTTCACGCTTGTTTCTAGGGAAAAAAAAGGAAATCCAAAGTGAATGCAACTGCAGTCACAATTGAACAAAAACCATTCAACTAAAAGCTCAAAGCCAAAGGACTGAGGTCAAGCCACTAGTAATCGTAACATTCTATATTTGGAAAACATCCAAATCCATTGGAGTGGTTGCCTGAAGTCATGAGTTGGGGAGGATTCTGGGCCTCTGAGTGTCTCTGCAGGAGAAAGTCAGAGGCTGGAGCAACAGCGCTGAGCCAGCCTCGCTGTAGTCTTTCAAAGGCAGCTCACTGATAGTCTATCACTGGACAACGAGTGCTCTGTCTCCTACCTTTCCCGACTGATAGCCATGGGCTCGGTTGTCCAATACAGGGAAAGAGAACCTGACAGTGTAATGATTCCCATCCTACAGATGAACCAGAAAAGCCTCACTACAGGTAGAGGAGGATTGTGGACCCTTTCACTGAGAAGCAAACAAAAACATGGGATTCTGCCAGTAACTAGAAATCAATTGCTCAACCTCCAATGAGTGATGAGATCGGCTACTCTTCGAGATAAACTCAGCACTTCCTAATTACCAAATGTTGAAGGAATGAATGATTGCTATGGTTCAACGGATCGAAGAGGTACTTTATGGATAAAAGAGATTTGATATACTTTGAACAAGTTCTCCCCTTTTGCTCATCCGAGGAATGAAGGTGCCTTCCTCTCAAGGTGATAACTAACAGACATGCACACCAAGTGTCTGGAATAACACCTGCAGCCAAGGGGTTTCTAGCAAATGGTGGCTGGAATGATCAATGATGCTGCCATGTCTATTATTAGTATTATTATTGTTATCGTGGGTTTTATCATTGTTTTTATTCCAACCTTTATTCTGAAGGGTTATGTATGCTGAAGGGCTCATGTACTCTAAAGTTGGGGAATGTGGAAACACAGAAGCCAGGCTGCCCAGATTCATGCTACTAGAGTGTCTGGGGATTCTTGGACTTCTATTTCAGTCAACATGCATGTGTAAGGTGAGGGACAGTGGAACTGGAAAAAGTACCCTGACATTCCTCATAAAGAAACTAAATATTTAGATGGAAATTAAAACAATTACACATTCTGGTTCATTAGTCCATAAAAGGTAAAAAGAGATATTTACACAATGAAAACAACTGTTTAAGTTGCTATCTTTTCTTACTCACTTATGCTTGTCTAACACACAAACTTAGTTGTGCTAGCTGGAGCAATTATTGCAAGTTCCAAATGCCCCAACCAGAAACGTGTCTCCGTTTCACATGCCATACATATTTATGTGCCACACACTGTTCTAGGCATGTGGGATAGCTCAGTGGACAGAAGATTCCTGCTTCTGTAGTGCTTCCATTCTGGCAGTGAGGGATGCTAAAGAATAAACATAAAAATTCCATAGAACATTAGAAGGTGATAATGACAATAAGGATTTAAGGGGAAAAAAAAGACAGCAAGCGAAACAGGCTGTAGAGTGGTCAGGGAAGACATCACTGGGGAAATGACACTGCCTAAAAGTTTGCAGAGGGAGGGAAGAGGGAGTCGACAGGCATCCTGGGAAGAGTCGAAGTCATCCTGGGAAGGGGGAGTCGACAGGCATCCTGCGAATGGAGTAGGCAGTCTGAAGGCCCCAGGGCAGCAGCACAACTGTGTGCTCCAGCGAGTGTGGCCAGAGCCGAATGTTCCATGGGGAGAAAAGATGAAGGCAGAGAAACAACCCAGGTCCAATCACACAGGCCACTGTGGTAAACTATAGTCTCAAAATGGCCACAGCAATATTTCTGGTACCACATACTCTTCCAGAACCTGGCTGCTCCCTATCAAGAGGTAAAGTATATTTCCCTCTTCTTGAATGTGGTCAGGCTGAGACTGCTCCAACCCACTGAGTATGATGGAAGGTATTCTGTAACTCTTCTGAGGCTAAAGTCCAGTTTCTGCCTGGCTTTCTGTTCTGGGAACCCAGCCACCATGTTGTGAGGAAGCCCAAGCCACATGGAGAGGCCCTGTGTAAGTGTTTCAGCTGAAAACCTGGGTGATAGTCTTAGACTACATCCAGCACCAATCTCCAGATATCTGAGTGAATGAGCTTTCAGGTGGTTAGTGCCTTTGAGTCTGAGGGATCCAGACACCACAAGATGGAGACAAGTCCCCCCACTGTAAGCTGTCTGAATTCCTGACTCACAGAATTTTGCATATAATAAATGGTGATGTAAGTCATTAAGTTTGGGGATGTTTTGTTGCACAGCTGTAGTAACTAGAAGGCCACTGTCAGGATTTTGAGTGTTCTGAGTGGAATGGAAAAACACTGTAGAAGAAAAAAATGAGATTGACCTACAGCCACTATGTTGAGAATACACCATAGGGGAGGATGGGGTGGAAGCAAAAAGACATGGACGAGGTTAGTGCAATTATCCAGGAAAAGATGATCAGGATGTGGAGGAGGAAAAGTAGAATATTTTTCTCACCCATCACCAGGGTCATGGCTGACACCCCTATAACAAAAGACAGGTTAACAAGAGAAAGGCATGACAAATTTATGTAACCAAAGTTTTATGTGATATAGGAGCCTTCAGAGATGAAGACCCCACGATCCAGAGAAAACTGTCTATTTTTGTGCTTAGGTTCAATGAAGCATATGAAGAATGGACAGCTATGTAGAAACCTGATTGGACAAAAAGCATATGATCTAATGGTGATAAACTGGAGCTCAGCATGGCCTGTTTGTTCAGAATCTTCTTGGCCTCTGTATAGCATTCCTTCCCTCCAGGTGACGGGGCAGGGCAACTGTCACATAAGGGTCTTATGCCCACTTTTCAGGGAAGGTAACCAACAGAATCCTTTAAGATCAGCTCTCACACAGAAAGACAGCGGATGGTCAGAGTGACCTTTCTGCTTCTGCTGTTTTCTCAGTGTCCAAGGTGCTGTACTTTGTAGTATCATGTTCTATGTCCCAACAGGGACTTAAACTAGTGCATTAGCAGGAGTTAGTGGTAAGTGTGTAGATTTTAGATATATTTTAAAGGTAGAGACAATAGCTTTCCTAGTGGGTCAAATGTCAGGTGTGAGAAAAAGAAAAGTCGGCTGGGCGCGGTAGCTCACGCCTGTAATTCCAGCACTTTGGGAGGCCGAGGCAGGTGGATCACCTGAGGTCAGGAGTTCAAAACCAGCCTGGCCAACATGGTGAAACCCCACCTCTACTAAAAATACAAAAATTATCTGGGTGTGGTGGTGGGCACCTGTAATCCCAGCTACTCGGGAGGCTGAGACAGGAGAATCGTTTAACCTGGGAGGCGGAGGTTGCAGTGAGCCGAGATCGCGCCACTGCACTTCAGCCTGGGCAACAAAGAGCAAAATTCTGTTTCAAAAAAAAAAGTCAAGAATGACTACAGATTTTTACCCTAAGCCACCAGAAAAAAACAGAAATTGCCATCAACTGAGATGGGAAGAATGAGAAGTGAAACTGGTTGGGGAGACAAGAATTTAGCTTTGGATTTGTTAAATTTGAGAAGTTTTTAGACATTCAGTGGAGATGTCAAGTGTGAGGTTGGTTATCTGAGTCCGGAGTTTGGGAAAGTTCTGGAACAGAGACATTTGGGATTGGCATTTGAAGGAATGAGACTGGACAATATCACTGAGGAAGTGGGAGTAACTTAAGAAGCCCTTGCTGATCATAGGCAATGCACCATTTATATTGTGATAGCACTTTCCATCCAATGGACAAAAATGGACAGCACCCCCCGAGGAAAAGAAAGCCATATTCTTATGTTTAAAAATAGTCTAGATGTCTATGAAGCTAATCACTTTCTTAAGAAACTGAATGCTAAGTACTTGCCTCATCTCAATGTCTGAAGCACCAGTTAGTGATACGCTGGACCTGCACGAGAACTTCCAGGCAGAGCCATGGGCTTTTCTACTTGCCTGGAGCCTGCCATCTAAGGAGAATGCTATGTTGAACTATCACTTTCATTGGACCCAACCTATGTCCCAGCCAGACAGCCTAAAAGTACCTTGCATGTATTCACTAAGTTGACTCACAACCTTCAAGACAGGCCAAGACTGTAGACAGGGAGTTTAGATTTTAAACTTCCTAAAAAATACACCCACAGACACAGTGACTGAGAACAGAAGTCACCTTTTCCTCTCTTCTTACTTCCCTCCTCTTCCTTTCTTCCCTACCATTTTAGGCCCGATAGAGCAGGGACCTGTGAGAATGGTGATGGTAGTAAGGCAAGGTTCCAAGAAGCAAAGAGGGCACTCAAGGAAATGCCGAATACAAAAGGAAATGCTACGAAACAAACAAGACCAGAGGACTGCAGGCCTCCTGATCAGGAAGAAGCAGGAACACATTAACTGCTTCTGTTTATTAAGGGAATCTGATATCCAGATTCAGGCCATGATATCAGAGTGGAATTCATACAATTAGTTTGATGAATCCAATTAAACAAAAACTTGGATTAACGGATTGATAATTAAATGCCATAAATCAGTAAACACAGTACAGTGCATGAAACAAACACACATCACGCTACAGAAGTTCAGTCTGGGTCCTCCTTCACGCAAGACCCTATACTTGGCACTAATTAAATGTAAAAAGGACATAGCTTCCAGAGATACAGAGATAGCTGTGGGGCCAGCCTCTTTAACACTGATTTCTCACTGGAGTGCACAGCAACATTTTCCATAAATATTCATCATAACCAATAATCCAAAAATATCCCTATGAGTCTGATGGGAAAAAAAAAATAACCAACCTACCCAGCAACAGCTTTTTCAATGTAAATACGGAAGTTGGAAGGTAGAAGATGTCAACACGAAAGTAGAAGAATGTTAAGTGGGAGGAAGTCCAACTAGGTTTCAATGCGTTGTATCCGTTGCATAATAAAGGGACAGCAGTATTTGACATGAAAATAGCATGGGAAATGAGTAACACCCAGGCAGACTTGCTATCAGATTGAATGGACCAGTGACTTGAAGAAACTCCAGCCCCACCACCCTCAATTAA